TTAAACATAAAAAGTCACGTGGTATAAAAAAGCAAGCTTCCCACGAAATATAAATTACAAAAGAGAACGAAAGCCCGTAGCGCGGGGAATAGCCAAGCCCGAAGCAATCATTGGATGGTCTTGATACTTGTTATCGGTATTTCCGGCTCTTAAAAATACGGTTCAACGCAAATTAATCTTTGTGCGTGGAAAAGAAATATACGTGTATTAACAGTTCATTCAGTCGCATATTACCAAGCATAGGAGGATAATATTATTTCGAAATTTTCTTTACATGGATTAATTTTTAAAAAGTAAAAAAAAAATGGTTCATTGTATATGCTAACGGCTATATTAATTCGAATAAGATTTATTAACCTGTGTGTTTATAAGTACGTATACAGATGGATGGACAGAGAGAGAGAGAGAGAGAGAGAGAGAGAGAGAGAGAGAGAGAGAGAGAGAGAGAGAGAGAGAGAGAGAGAGAGAGAGAGAGAGAGAGAGCGAGAGAGAGAGAGAGAGAGAGAGAGAGAGAGAGAGAGAGAGAGAGAGAGAGAGAGAGAGAGCAGAGAGAGAGAGAGGGGGGGGGAAGAGAGAGGAGAAAGTGAGAGAGAGAGAGAGGGAGAGAGAGAGGGAGTGTGTGTGTGAGAGAGAGAGAGAGAGAGAGAGAGAGAGAGAGAGAGAGAGAGAGAGGGAGAGGGAGAGGGGAGAGGGAGAGGGAGAGAGAGGGAGAGAGAGAGAGAGAGAGAGAGAGAGAGAGAGAGAGAGAGAGAGAGAGAGAGTGAGAGTGAGAGTGAGAGTGAGAGTGAGAGTGGAGTGAGATAGAGAGAAAGGAGAGAGAGAGTGAGAGAGAGAGAGAGAGAGAGAAGAGAGAGAGAGAGAGAGAGAGAGAGAGAGAGAGAGAGAGAGAGAGAAGAGAGAGAGAAGAGAGAGAGAGAGAGAGAGAGAGAGAGAGAGAAGAGAGAGAAGAGAGAGAGAGAGAGAGAGAGAGAGGATCGTGCTTTGGAAATGATGTAGAAGCATACTGGAGGCGAGAGGGTACGTAATCGAGGTGGCTCAAGACATCACCTTTCACCTTTATCACTTTTTACTCGCACTTTGTCATCAGCAGCCGCAGTATCCATATCATACTTTTTAATGCTATAATTTTACAGCGTTTCTCTTCCTTTTCCAGAGAAAAGCGTCGTTTTTTCATCAACTTTTCTTATAAATTTATTCCTTTACCATAACTAAATGATAAATTATTGTATAACCTAAGAAAATACATAAAGTAGACGTTGTGATTATACTGCATTTATAAAAACAATTTGAAACTACCATACCTAAGGCTCCACGATCAAATGATACGAAAGTAAATCAAAAGAAAATACGAATGAGAGGTAATCTGTACTGAGAACCAACACCTTTCAGAAATGTTTATCCCTTACTTTACTTTGAGAGAGAGAGAGAGAGAGAGAGGGGGGGGGGGTGCTATTAACAAGTATATAAATACATATAAACAGGAATCAACTTTCATAAATGGTAGCGGATTCAAAATATGAACATCGCGTCATCAAATATGAATTACTTGTTTTCATTCTAGATGAAAAAAAACGTAATAGAACAGAAAAATGTTATATAACAACAGTTTCGTACATTTCCATATAATCATGATGAACAAGTTACAGTGGTGATGAAGAAAACTATCATGGAAGTTATACTGATGACCGTATTGGGACTGATAAACTTAATGATGATAACCGAAGACCTACCAGTTCTAACACTGTCCTTGGTTATACTGAATAGCCCTGGAGGCGGGGTCGGTCAGGCCCAGAGGGATACAGAGATAGATACATACACATTTTGTTTGCGTGTGTGTGTGCGTGTCTATTTGTGCGTATACATGTAGACCTCTTCACATACTAGAAAAATACTCACAAAGAGACATTGCTGCATACCCTAACAATAAAAAGCTAGCACTGGCACTACAGAGAGGGGGAAAGATAGTTTAAGAGAGCTTATAGACGATTGAATGTAAGAAAGGCAGGAATAGTGACCGATAAAGAGCAGGGGAAAGTGAAAAGGTGAGGGACGACTGTCTGCAATAATGATAAAGGTACTCGCATGTGTGTTTGTACTATAAGGGTGCGTGTGAGCGAGCGTCTGTATATGTTTACTTATACATCATCTGTTTAAGTGCCTGTGTGTATGAGTGAGAGTGAGTGAGTGTGTGTGCTACATTTTAAGAAAACAAAACCTCTCGTTGCCAATTTCAATAGAATTCATCCAAATTGTTAAAACAATACATCGTAACACTCCATTTCTAAGAGAGAGAACAAAAATGGTTTTATTCTGTCGACTTGCTCTATTATTCCTGGTTGAACCCTGAAAGTAGAAGGTCCGCAAAAACAGAGTTCAGTGTTATCCTCGCCAAAGCTTCCGTTTGTCTGAATACGTTGCCCATCGGACACAAATTTCCGTTATGTGGAAAATATATCTTTCCTCATTCATGTCAATTCGACCTTATATCTGATATATATTCTGGAATTTTATGTATAAGAACACGGCATTGCAGGAGCATTACAAGTAACAAATCACATAATAATAACTGGTTCCCTTAAAAAGAATAATAATAATAGAAAAAAAATCGACAAGGAAGTTGCCTTTGCTCATACCCAAAGGACCTCGAGATGTCGGGTTCTACTGCTGTTCCCTACGCGGCGCGGCCAAGGAAAAATATAAACTTTTTTAAAGAGAAAAGGCAAATTATTTTTGAGTAGAAAAGTAGTGGTAGCTCTCCCAGAAGTTAGTGCAGACTATGAAGGTTTATGAACTGAATACTTTCACATACGATTCTTCACCTTAATGACTTTTGCTTCCACATTTGCGTTCTTGCATCGTAACATTCGCCTCATTGCACTTTGTCCAGCCAAATGCAGAGCACTGAGGTCCGCGCTGTTTCCCCTTAGTCAGGAAGCTGCTGTGGACGCGTGTAATATACTGCATTCAGCCTCCTCCCTTCCTATAGTGAATTAAATCTACATTCAACGGGAGACATAAAAAAATTAATTGAACATTTATATTTCAAACCAGTTACAGTATATACAAACTGCCAATTACGGCCCGAATGCATTAAAACTTGTGTCATCCTGGCTGGAAATTTGCTTTCGTACTCGGTTTATCGCGCTGAAAGTGACGTTATGAAAGCAAAACTAAATTGGCGTGATAATTATGTAACCGCCCAGTACCCAAA